TATATATGTGGATTTTTAGAAATCTCATTAAGAAATCAAAATTAAACATGAAAATGCAATTAAAATGTTTGTGATTGTGATCATTGTTAAATGTCAAGTAGCGAAACAATCAATGTCATACATAGAATAGTTCATAGAATGTATAGATGCTGGAAGGAATTGTATTATCATATGGTTAGTAGGCAAAAAGTAAGAATAATAAAAACAGTCATAGGAATGATTGAAAGGTTCGTAGATTAAAACTGTATGAATACTTATCCCTCTGCGGCAAAGTAAAAGTACAGATTGCACATACTTCTTTTGTACACAAATGTCTGGCTTGAATTCATGAATGGCTAAAACCTCCACTGTCTTTAGAAGTCTCTAACGGAAAAAGCGTAGGAAGTTATCATGAATTCTATAGATGATCTTAAAATTATGGTCAGGGTTGGCAGAATTACAGAAGTCAATCAATTGATCTCACACCCTTCTTTTCTACCTTGTAAAACCATGATGGAATAGATCCTCTTAACCATGTGGAAAGTATTCTGTGTTCAGGGTGAATACACCTTGCTTCGCAAGGGTAGACGAACTGATAGATGCACACACAGGCAGCCAAAAGAGACAGTTTATCCTTTACACAGACGGAAGAAAATTACGGCTGAAGGTCATTCGTAATTTCGCAGCAGAGAATGTCTTTTGACCGATTCGGAGTGACGATATTTGAGCATACATGAAGCCTGATAATCTTTAGACTCCATATTTAGTTCCTTACGCTGGAATTCAAAGACCCTCGAATTATAATTTCGTCAGTTCATGGTATATATATATATATATATTATTTACGTCAATGTCATGTCCCAAATCAGTCATGAGAAAAACAATGACAGGGCTTAACGATGAGGAACTTATCAACCAATCACAGAAGACTTAACGTGTACCAATACGATTCACAGATAAATGGCTTAACTTTCTGAGAAACGTTCACAGGCAATACAGAATTACCTTCAGCAAGAAAACGAACAATCAGAAGATGCTACTCCTTCTCTGACAATAATATACATAAAATCTATAAACATCTCTTGACTTTGTCAATAAACGATCAGTCGACTAGTCTTTGTCTTTCCTAATTACATATATATGTATCTGCTCATCGATGTCATTCTTGTGAGCAGAGCTACATCATGCATCAATAGAAGCTAGAATTCACCCGTCATTGAGTTCCATTCCAAGTAGCTAAGCGGCCAACGAGATTAGTCTCGTATTCTGAAGAGAGGCGTCCGATCCCTGTAGGAGTCATTAGGGCACGCATTTGAAGAGTGCCGAAAAATAGGATGAAACAGCTGCCCAGTACCCCCTGGTTCCTGAATGATCTCTTCAACTGATGTTGGCTCTTAACGAAGTCTAACAACTGAAATTAACCAAACCCCCCCCCCCAAAAAAATCTTAGAACCCTATAAATCTGACTCGGATTGTAACAAAACCTGTAAAAAACAAAGTAGAAGAGTCACAATAAGATTACAATTCCCATTAGTATAAGATACACACAAATGACATTTATTCACTCACCATTTCCGAGTATTCTTTATGCCTAGCTAAATGATTTGGGTGGATTTCTTCATCACATGTAAATACTAAACAATAAATATGTACAAAATTTATATACAAGATAATATTTACTTGAACAGTGGGCCTCCATAAATGATTCAATATAAGCTGTAACCATTGGATCCATGAAAAAATCTTCAACTTCTTCATCATTCATTTTTTTCTAACTGCTCTTTCACAGTTCAGTTTACTGCTGAGAGTTGATGGACATCGAATTTACAGGGGTAAAAAAGAAGCTATACAAACAAAATTTAATTTACTATAGAATAAGAATAATAAACAATGAAGCATACTTGTTGGCATAGCTTAAACAGACATGTGCGCGTCAAAATTCAAACATGTACAACATAAATGTTTTAATTACCGAATTAAGTTAAAGTGCGGAATATTCAAAACAGTAAAGTAAAACGATTAATATGGCTTATAGTTTCTTTTATTTACAGCCTGGTGATAGTTTACGGAAAATAAACATTTGCTTGTTTAAACTGTGTTCTAAAATTATCTTGATGGGAATTCTAACTCTGGCAACTTATTAAATTCCAACCCAAGTAGCTGAAGATGAGTCAACCGACTTGGCCTCATAAGCTGAAGATCCCAGGATTGATCCCTGAAGGGGTCATGAGTGGGAACTGACGGAAAGTCCCGAACTAGGAAGAAACAACTTCCCAGTACTCCCTCCATTTTCAGTGACCTCTCCAACTCATATTTCTGATGACGAGAATCTATCAACTGGAATTTATCCAAATCTCATCACATAAATGGTTTTATTTTTCAAATGTTTGAAACAAATACATTAGAGTTTTCAGATAAATTTGGTTTTTAATCAGATTGCATAGATTTGATTGGTTTCAATTTTGCCCATGGATTGATAGCACTTAAAAACTATTGAGTACTTATCAGTAGTTTTGCCTAGTCTGGGACTCTTGAACAGTACGCTCCCAGGATCTTTAAGTTTTAAGGTGAGATTGTTAATCATTCAGCCACTGGGATTGGATCCATTGGCCAGCCCATGAATAACGACATCCATCAGTTTGTGATGCATACAGCACCACCGCCAGCCATAGCCATCGGTGTGTATTTTTCGGTAAGCCTGAGCCTGTGACCCCACACTGGTTGTGACTTCCTGTCGAACCACTAGGCAACTCCTCCTTGCAGTCTCTCTGTAGTGAGCATCTAATTTCTTTTCAAAAATGATTTTGTAAGGACTTAGGCAGTTTCAAGTTCAGATAGTAAAATTAGTCCTTTTGTCATCAATTTTGTATTTTTTTACTATTCTGCCACTTATATTATGATTACTTAATGTTAAACTCTGTGCCAAGTCATTCAGTAATTGCTTCAACAGTATGCAGTACCCCAAATCTTTATGAAACTCATTCAGTAGCTATTCGACAATGCAAAATGTCAAGTGATTTACAACGGAGAACTCAGTAAAGCCTTTGAAGTGAAGACTGGAGTAAGATAAGACTTTTCAATATCACCGACAGTGCACGGGGAGGGAGAAGACAGGACTACATTGGACTGATAATGAGACACTAGGAGATTTGAAATTCACGGACGAAGACTTACAGCATGCTGGCAGAAGAGACAGACAGTGAAGACCGAACTTCAATTGACCATAGAGAAGAGAGAAATGATGAAGATAACCGCTGACCAACCACAACAACTACAGCCATCAATCACTACCAACAGAATAAACTTGAACGAGGTCACTTCCTTCGCTTATCTAGGCAAAGTAGTTTCAACTGCAGGCAGTTGGAACGAATGAGGTTTCCAAAACCAGCCAGGTAGGAAAAGCAATACACAGTTTCACCACTCACAAGGTAGTCTGGAAGTATTCTATGTTTAACCAGCATAAACAACGAAATTCGGATTTCTAACACCACCTTTAAGTCAACCACTCCTTCTATATGGATCAGAAACTTCGTGCTTGCGTCACGAAAATCATTTCCAACATCTTACCTCAGACTTTTATCTACAGCTGCCTCCTCTAAATCCTTACTGAAGATCAGATGGCAGGCCAGTTAGAAAGAATTAGCTACAAGAAACTCTAGAAACTAACCAATCAAAGACCTATTGCCCAACAAATGTTCCAAAGAAAATGAAGATGTATCGGACCACTGGGTGACATCGGCTGGCAGTCCATCGCTATAGTTTAAATTGAATGGAAAACGATGAGTTGGAT